ATTTTTATCTTTTTTTTTGTAATCTTTTAGATCATTTTAGTGGTGATGGCTCATCATCAGTGGTTTCTTCTGTATTTTCTTGTTGTGATGTTTTTCGAAACTCCTCCTCTTCGACTCCTTCAAGTATCGGTTCACAGTATTCTTGAACTTTTATTGAATAATCTTGATAATCATTAAGGTCGTCTTCATTTCCATCGGGATTACTATTGATAGCATTCAATCGACAGATCATGATATCAGCATCATCATTGTCATCATCAAGTGATGGCATTGTACTGTTAAAACATGTTTCACTTTTACAATTTTTGCATAAAGATGAGCAAGGAAGCCCAGCTTTTTTACATCCACATCGATTGGACACTCTTTCATGCAGGCACAATCAACCAGCTTAAGCAAGTCGTCAGGCGCCATTATTTTTATTGGTAGGAACAATGTTCCTACCAGATTTGATCCAACCCCAATCTTCCGGATTCAAATTATAATTACCAATCCAAAACTGAACTTGGTAATACGTCCTGAATGAGTGTAAATGTGTTGCTATTGTTGTTGGAGGTTGATTGCACTCTTTCATTTCGCAATCATACTTAAAAATCAAGAAACACGACACTGGCCTTATGTTGAATCAGTATCAAATTGACCATACAAGGCCAGCAAGGCCGCGAATAGATCAATCAATAATAACGATATACCAAGGAGATGACGTACAGCGCCATCTGCCCGTGAATAGATCAAGCAATAATGTCGATATATTAAGGAGGTTACGTACAACACCATTTGCCCGCGAATAGATCAAGCAATAATGTCGATAATTCTGTCAAATACAGATCCCGAGCTTGAGATTTACATGCAAACAAACAAACAAACATACATACAGCTGAAGCTAATGAAAGCGTGATAATTGAAAAGTTTATAGAATATTGGCTGGAAATAAAAATATGCTAACCAAAATAGAACGCACTTAACTAATTTCCCATTTTACTAAACCTTCTACCAAGTCGTTTCAGCCCTGAAAATCTCCTGGAGAGGCTGGTTCATTTTCAGCTCTTCTTCAAAACGGACTATAAATAATTTCACCTATTCTCATAAAATTGTATACAGCTAGTCTGGCGTGGAACTGTATTCCACCCAGTTGGTTGGCAGCAAGGGTGGTATATATTTAAAGTGGGTCGTAAAGACTTACACCATAAATCGGTACGACCAATCAGCCTTACATCCTTTCTGTTGAAATGACTTGAGAGGATACTAGACGAACACATCAGGAGGAAGGCATTATATGCATCCCCCTTGAATAACCACTAGTATGTTTATCAAACCGGCGGTTGCTGTATTTCTCGATATTGAAGGAGCATTTGAAAATCTATAGGATCGTCTCTGGCTAGGAAAGGTATAGAATCGACCATAACTGGCTGGATCTATGCCATGCTGATAAATATCACGGCAACTATGACTCTTCGAGGCGAGGACATCACGTTTAGGGTCACCAGAGGTTGCCCTCAATGTGGGGTACTATCTTCCCTTCTGTGGTCTATCCTGATTGATAGTCTGCGTGATGCTCTCGACAGACGAAAAGTAAATCTGCAAGCTTATGCAGATGATCTTGTCATGGCAAGATCCACGTCGGAAAGGATAACTTGTAATATCCTCCAGAGCACGATGGACGTTGTTCACAGTTAGTGCCTGAGGGAGCAGATGTCTGTCAACCCCAGCAAAACTGTGATACTCCTCTCCACCAGAAGGAGAAAATTGGACGATCTAACGCCACTCACTCTCAATGGTGAGGTCATTCTATTAGGAAAGGAGGTGAAATATCTTGGCATTGTCCTTGATAAAAAACTCACCTGGAACGCTCACTTGGAAAAAGTTCTACACAAAGCCAGACTGTCCCTATGGAC